CCCCTAAATCCGCGCCTGCAGGGATATCTGCGTGCGGACCGAGGGGACAAAGTTAACGTTATAATTCCTGTTCCTGGTTTTGGTTTGGGCCAATTGATTGTTACAGTTTTGTTGTGGAAAAGTATTACATGTTTCGCATAGAAAATTGAATATTGCAAAAAAAAAAAGAAAAAAAATCTTAAAATGCACAGTCGACATTTTGTAGACGTTTATCATAATGTTCATAATTGTTGCAAAATAATCACCGTTTTTTTTTCATTATTTGATGATGCAAGTTGATTATGAAATATTTAATAGTTATTAAATTGATTAATTATAATTAATATAATGGTTTGTAGATTTGCACCATACACTTTATAATTGGAATAGACTTATACCAAATAATAACATGTACAAAATATACATATCTAACGATGCATTAATGAACGACAAAATTCTGCCTTTTTCGCGAAAGACTTGCGAGGTAGCAAACCGTTTTCATAATATGCGTTGGTGTGGATGTCTTTGTTTAATAACGAATCCATTACTTCTAACATCAATTCATAGCGTTGATTTGTCAGTTGATATTTCCAACACATGCATGTATTTCCCCAACCTCGCCACATGAGCTGTAAATTGGATTTGAAGAATTTAAAGCTAAAGATGTTTTTGTTTTTTTATGTAAACCTGGAGTCAAACACTAGATATGATTTAGACAGGCAGCTGGCCACGTGTGTATTGGACCGGCGGGGTCGAGTTGAAAAAGATTGTTAATTTCTTGTTTCTGCAATGGCTGCACTTTCTGACAGGAAGTGAATAAGTTTTAAGAACAAAAAAAGTAAAAAGTTAACGATAACAAAAATGTCAAGCCCTGCTTAGTAACATTTAACATAAACATTTCACTACAAAAACAACCTTCTGTAGCCTTTTATTTCATCACAGCGGGCATATCAAGGCTGAGGGAAACACGTGGCATTACGCGCCATTTGTCAAGTGTATCACGTGATACGGAACGTGTAACTGATCAGATCTTTCCCTGATGAGGTCATTGAGAAGTGGAGTTATCCTTATTTCTGAATACTATAGTTTTTCAGAACTTCACTTAAAAGTGAGCTTATATCAACATATGTTTTCGTCGTGGTGAGATCTTGGCCATGACTGCTCTGCCTTTTCTCTAAACTCGTATTTATAATACATTGTATTGAATGCTCACAGACAAGGGACGCGGACCACCATGTAAACCATATGCCTTCAGTATGGTAAACCGTTATCTGTTCGGCACGGTATAACTATGGTGGCCAAACGGTGGTATGTCAGTTCATAAAAATGGATTGTGAAATCTATTTTAACTTGATAACATGATTGATACCATAGATTTGTCATTCAACAAGTTCAGGGTAGTACATCAGTTAAAAGCTGTATCTTAATACTTCAGTGAGGTTTGTCGATGGACACTTGTTATTGGCTTTGTATAGGGACACATATACTTCCATTATAATTATGATAATGTATAAATATTTAATGTTACTTTTCAAACGTTATTACTATTTTCTACCAAATACTTACTGAAAAGGATCAATACAGGACAACTCTATGGATGGGTCGAGTTGACTACAGTCGTACCCACTGTACCCGGAGATGCAGGCACACAGACCTTTTACTAAGTCGCCCTGATTAGAACATTGCGGTGACCGCCGCTGTTGTAACAGAAAAAAACAATGAGCAATGACCTTACACGACTGTTCAACATAGAAATTATATGTCTGAAAATTATATTTCTGAAAATTATAAATTTAATTGCGAGTGTTCTGACTTTAAAAGCAACAGCTGCTAGCGTTAAAATTCTACCTACAAAACATGTCAGTTGTATAATCACACCAAACTCACTGTATCTAGTACACCACCAACATATAGCTACAGCTACATTGTAGCAATTTCTAGTATAATAGCAACAACATAATGCTACATTGTTGTAATTTCTAGTATAATAGCAACAACATAACGCTACATTATTGTAATTTCGGGTATAATAGCAACAACATAACGCTACATTGTAGCAATTTCTAGTATAATAGCAACAACATAATGCTACATTGTTGTAATTTCTAGTATAATAGCAACAACATAACGCTACATTATTGTAATTTCGGGTATAATAGCAACAACATAACGCTACATTGTAGCAATTTCTAGTATAATAGCAACAACATAA